AGGAGCCCAGTTCTTACCCACCATGCCTATGGGTTTTTTTCTGGAATAAGAGACCCCACATTTTCATGTCACTCTCCCGTTGGGTGCCATCGAGTCACATCGACTCACAGTGACCACATGGGCCAGAAAGGCCTCCACAGTGGTTCCCCGACATCTCACCTTTCTCGAAGGCAGCGGCTAGTGCATTTGAACTGCCTACCTTCAGGTTAGCACCCGAGCGCAGAGCTGCCCAGAGGCTTTCGTCGTCTGGGATCGTTGGTCCTGTAGAACTCCTGCACGAGTTCAAACTCAACCTGTCGGTTTGCTGTGATCACAGCCAGCACAACACCATCCTGACTCCTTCTGTCCCAGAGGAGCCCTGGGGCACAGCGCCCACTAAGCTCAAGGTCAGCAATGCAAACCCCCAGCTGCTCCTCGCTCCTCGGAGAAGACGGGCAGTGGGCAGTCTCCTCCCGCAGATTTACAGCCTCAGGAGTGGGCGAGAGGGGGCCCTGTGCACCAGGACTAAGTCAGCAGCCCCGGGTTTATCCACCCGAGAGGTCTCAGCACACATCCAGGGCCTTTCTCCTTTCGTTTCTCTGACGCACGCCCCACCACCGACCGGTTGGTGTATGCTGGTGCGCTCAATTCCAGCGCTTGGTGACCCCCATGGACAACAGCCTGAAACCCTGCCCGGTGCCATCCTCTACCCTCTGCCACGCTTGCCCTCTGTCACAGTCATTATGTCAGCCCATCTCGTTGACCTATGGCGCAGAGCAGAACTGCCCCTAGGGCTCCCCGGCCCTGGTGGTGCAGTGATTAAGTGCTTGGCTGCTAACCAGGAAATCATGTGGTGCGGTTCTAGTCTCTCACCTGGCATCACCATGAGCCCAAATCGACAGAATGGCATCTACCCCCAGTGTGTGGGACCTCTCCGCCTGGGCCTTTTCTCCCAGGGAGCGGCTGGTGGGTTTGAACTCTCAACCTTTTGGTTATCAGCTGAGTGCTTATCCACTGCAACACCAGGGTTCCTTTTGTTCTCTCAATTACCACCTTAAATGGCCAAGTGGTGGGGCTGGGGCGGGACTCACACTATGGTGTCAAAGTTGGCTCTGGTTCCATGCATCGCATTGGCCTCTCTTTGCACACAGGGCCCTGGTGTCTCTTGTGCTAAGAGGAGGCCAAGTTCAAGTGCTAGTCTGCCGACTTAGAGGAAAGATGAGGCTGTCTGTTTCTGTAAAGGTGCATAGCCGTGGACAGTCTGGGGGTGGTCCTGCACTGTCCACGGAGTCACTGACAGCTGTGGACAGTCTGGGGGTGGTCCTGCACTGTCCATGGAGTCACTGACAGCCGTGGACACCCTGGGGGTGGTCTTGCACTGTCCACGGAGTCACTGACAGCCATGGACACCCTGGAGTTGGTCCTGCACTGTCCACAGGGTCACTCTGCACTCAGAGAGTTTGGGGTTGGAAGAGGAGGTAGGAGAGAGGTGAGAAGCCAGCAGGAGCCGGTCTCACAGGCGAAAGCTCGTCCTCCACCTGGCAGGCCTCTGTAACTGGAGACGTAACTTCTCCTCGGACAGAATGGAGACTAGGCCTCAGCAGCTAGCGAGGTCTCCTGGGACTGGGACGGGGGACAGGCTCTCTCTCTCTCAGGGGCTGCTGGGGCCGCTGCAGTGGGCATGTGGAGCACAGTCTATTCACGAGGCAGGAGAGGTGTTCTTCTGCTGCGGCTGAAGAGCTTGGAGTGGGTGTGGGGATTAGAACCCATGAGTCCCCTGCGTCCTCTTCAAACTGGCACCTGGACTCCAGGCTTTGTTGTCGTGGAGAAGACAGTATCACTGCTAGCAGGAGCCACCCGCACAAAGCATTCTCTGGTTAAAGGCAGAGAAAAAAGAAAATTTTTTAAAAACTGGTTAAGCACAAAAACGAAAAACCAGCAATTGGCTCCAGTTGTAGAAATGTTTTCTAAAAGCAACAGCAAAGTGGAGGAAAAAATAATAAAAAATAAACTGTCCCGGAGAGCTGAGAGAGGGCCAAGAATATTAATACCCTGGAACGGGGCGAACCTCTCCAAGCTGTAAATATTTTCCCAGTTTCCCACGTGGAGCCAGCAAGCCTGAGTCCTCTGTGCTCACAGCCCTGCCCAGCACAGATCTCTGCCCAACTGCAGCTTTTCCAAAAGCAAACCCACAGAGGAGTCTTCGGGGAGGAAATTCTTGCTGCAGATAGCAGAGCGAGAGTGTCAGCCCCCTGAACCTGGGAGGAGAGAGAGGGTATTGACAACAGAGACGAACAGAGGGCCCTACACTGTCCTACCGTCAGCTCCGACCCACGACAACCCCCATCCTGTTTCTGAAGCTGTAGATCTTAATAGGAGGGGGCTGCCTGGCTCTTTCTCTGGGAGAGGCTGGTGGGTTCCAACTGTCAACCTTTCTGTTCAAACTGTTAGCCTTTCTGATAACTTACACACCAACAGTCTCCAGTAATGCAGTGGTTCAGTGCTTGGATGCTAATCAAAAGGTTGGCTGTTCGAACCCCCCCCCTCCCCAGCTGCAATGTTGGAAACTCTGCAGGAGATTCTGCTGGGTCACTGGGTCACTAAGAGTCAGAAGAGACGTCACAGGAATGAGCTTGACTTCAGATTTGTATCGATTGTTACCGAGCTGTGTGGAACACGGGTGAAGCACTCAGCTAACCAAAGGGTTAGCGGTTCAACACCATGAGCTGCCCTTGGAGAGAAATATGAGATAGTCTGTGCTATAAAGGTGGACAGCTTGGCAGCCCGAACAAGCCCACTGTGTCCTCCAGGCCACTGAGTTGGAATCGACTCCACACAGCAGCAGGGTTTTCATTGCAGAGTTTAAAAATCCAGCTGCTTCCCTTGGAAAGGGGTGTGTGATATCAATTGTTATCAAGAAATGGCCAGAGGCAGGGCAGGTGGCACTGTGTGTGCACATGTGTGGAATGTGGTTTCCTCATGGGCCACTGGACCGTCCCCTCCAGTGGACAGTGAGGGCCAAGCCTTCGTCATCTCTCCAGAAGCCCCATCACCTGGACAACAGCTCTCTGTCACTCCAGTTGAGTCAGAACCAACTGACAGCTGACCCTCCAGTGGGGTTTCCGAGGCTCTAAACTGTACAGAAGGTGTTTGCGCAGCTTTCTCCACCCAAACCATTGATGGATTCGAACTTCCAGAGAGGCACGACCTTTGGGTTAGCAATACAACCCTTACAGGCTAGGTCACCTCAGCCACATACTCAGAACAACCCCAGGTGGAAAGGAGAACTGCCCGCAAGATCCCCAAGACCTTTCTCTCTAGAGGGGCACACTGCTGTCTTTCTCCTCAGAGATTCGAACTGCTGACTTTTAGTTCATAGTTCAACACTTCAACCCTGTGCCCTCACCTTGTTAGCCATCCACTGTCAGCAGCACTTCCCAGCATGCCTCTCTCGGGTGATGGAAACAAGTTCCGAAAAGCAGACGCCTCCCTGGCTACAGGCTCCGGCGCGGATGCAGGGTCAATCAGTCCCGCCCCACCTGTCCCCTCTCCCTGAGCACTGCGTGGGCAGCTGAGACCACCCCAACCTGGACCAAGGAGACTCCAGGAGCCTCGAGTGAGGGCCTCATTGAAGGGACAGGGTTAAGAGAGGAAAACAGCCCACAATGTTCTCCAGACCCCACAAAAGTGCAAACCTAGTGATGAGGGCAGGAGAGAAAGGCAGGCGCTTGGTGACGCTGTGGATTAAACACAGGGCCACACTTCACATCCATCAGCCACTCTGCTATTTGCTTCCATGGAGGGTTCAGCTTCAGGGACCCCTGGGGCACTTATGCCCTGTGCTGAGGGGCCGCTGCAAGGTGGAATCAAGGAGACAGCAGCAGGATCGGGAAGAGGGAGACTAAACAGAGAGGGTCATGCTACCCCCTACCCACAGGGACCCGGGCACTTCTGGGGAGATGACTTCCAAAGACAAGTCGCCACCTCATCCCCTGGCCCTGCCAGGCTGCTCAGCCCAAAAATGTCCCCTGTGTCATCATCCCTTCCTGACTGCTCCTTCTCAGACCTGCTGTCCAAGCCCAGGACTATGACAGCCAGTGAAGTGGAAATAGTCAGTCAGTCAACAAACAGTGATATGCGGGCAGGAACAACCAGTAAGTCAGTCAATATACACCCAGGTATGGCAACAGGCCAGTGGGAGGTGGGGAGGGGAGAACAGGCAGGGAGTCAGTCAGCAAACATCCAGTCCTGTGGTAACGTCAACAAACCCGAGACCCCAGTGGGTCATTGAGGTCTGGACAGAATTACCTCCTGGTACCTCATTTCTGTTGTTGGGGGTTGGCATATGGGCACAGTCTCATGTGACCCCAAAGTTCCTTGAACATCGTTTAGAGATGGTTAGAAGGAGGAAGTGACCACAGAGGCGCACTGCATGCTCTCCCCAGCACCGCGGTCAACCCACAAACCCAGCGTCCATGCAGAAGAGGTGAGCCACTGAGGACAAACCACTAAGCACGACCACGGCAGAGGCAATCTGTCTGAAGGAGAACATTCTGGATGGTTCTATTGGCTCAACATAGAAATGGTGACGAAGCTACTCTCTGCTGAGGGCAGGGGGCATGTCCAGCAGACAGGGGAGTGGTCAGGAGGACGGACAGCTGGGGGACATTAATGCCCTTGACTCAAAGGTAGTCGTAGGGTGCTTATGGAGGTGTGAAAACGCCCCTGCGTAATTACACGTTAGAAGATGTGGGACGGGGCAGGGGTGCTGGTCTTGAGGTTTGCCTAACGTTTCCGCAGAAGAGAGGGGCCTGCAGGTGAGCAGGAACCAGGCCAAAGGTTCAAAGGGGCAGAGCTTCCAGAAAGTCCGGGTCGCGCTCCGCCCCCTTCAGCCCCGCCTACCAGGTGTGGTGCCGCCTCCGCCTGGGCGTCCTCCGTTGCCTGGCAACCAGTCTCTCTCCTAGGCAACTCGAAAACCTGAGCTCAGGGCTTGAGGTGCCAGACCGAAAGAGTCCTTCCTCATGACCCACAAGCAGATCAGCACCGCTGAGGCGGAGCGCATGAATCTCGTGGCGCAAGATGAGATCTGGTAAGGCAGCGCCCGCCCCACTGCGCACACCTGGCCGGCCAGCCCCACTGCGCACACCTGACCGGCCAGGCCTCACCAGTGCATCACAGCCCTGGGCTGGCAGGGCCGCCTCCGCACGTCCTCAAACCCCGGGCAGCTCTCAGACCCACTCTTTTCCAGGAAATGCCGTCTGAAGGCTGAAAACGAAGCCAGGAAAAACTGGACCCAAAACTGGGGATTTTTAACAACCCCCTTCGAGGAGGTAAATGCCCACCTTGTGTGCTCAAAAGGCACATGTCAGTCATTGAGAGGCTGCAAGAGTCATGAAATGAGGACTTATCAGAACACGAGCCCAGTGAGGTAGAATCTTCCTTGTACAGCCCACTGTTGGAGCAGAGCTGTGCTCCCTCCACAGATAGGAGTCTCGGGGTTCTAATTTTGGGGTTTTTTTCTCTTTCTCTCCTCTCCCCTCTCCTCTTCCCCTTCCACCCCCCTCACACACACACACACACACACACACACACACACACACACACACACTCACTCCTAGTGGCCTAGTGGTAAGAAGCTGTGCTGCAGTCCCAAAGGCATGTGCTTTGGAACCCACCAGATGCTCAATGGAGAAGAATGTGCAGTCTTGTCTCTGCGATTTACTGCCTCTGAAAGAAAACCTGCCAGAGTCACCAGTGGACTAGCTGCAACTCAGTGACACACAACAACAATAAGCAGCTACCAGATATATAGATCTATCGGTCTACTTGTCTGTCTGTCTGTCTATCTATCTATCTATGCAGAAATCTAGACCTCTAGACAGAGTGAGCGAGCACACGCTCTGGCGGCTGGGTGAGGAGCAGCCGTGTTACAGTCCCAGAGGCGGCTTCGCCCTTGTGTCTTCCCAGCTTCTTTTCTTCTGTTTCTGGTGACTCTGTGTGGTGTGACATCTATCTGTCTTTCCTCTGTGCCCACCGCAGTCTGTACTTGTTTGCTGCTTTGCCTGATCTGCACTTTTATATAGAAAAGCTGAGTAACCTATGACTTACCATCCACAATACTGGTTCATTGACTTAACTAAGAAAAGCTTATTCCCAAATGTGTGTGCTGCCGTTGTTCGAACTCAGAACTTAGAGTCACAGCTGACCCTTCCCTGGGTTTCCAACTAATAGGAGGAAAGTGCCCATCTTCCTGCCATGGAGCCGCTGGTGGATTTAAATGACCAGAGGCTAGGCCTTGGGGTCAGCACCTCCTTACAGATCAGGCCACCAGAGTGGCCTTGGTGGTGGTCACTATAAGAAAAATTCTGACGCATAGTGTTGGGTGCTCACAGATAAATTTATCCAGTAAACCCTGGTTCATAATGACCCCATATGACAGAGTAGAACTGCCCTTCGGGGTTCCCAAACCGTCATGTTCGAGCAGGCAGATTATCAAGCCTTCCTCCCTTGGACCCACTAGTGCGTTTATCCTGCTAAGCTTTTGTCTGGCATCTGACCATTGTTCCGTAAGTGCCCTCCCTCTTAGCTTCGAGCTCCAGCGTGGGAATGCTGCCCTGATTGACCTCGAGCCTCTGCTCTTTATTCTGAGGATCTATAAAACTATCAGGTCAATTCCAAGGCTGCACATTTCCATCAGAGAAGACTGTCTGTCTTTCACCTGAGGAGCAGCTGATGGATTAAAACTGCCGAGCTGGGGAGCTCTGGTGGCCTAGTGGCAAGAAGCTGCACTGGAATCCCAGAGGAACATGGTTTGAGTCCACCAGATGCTCTGCCGGAGAAGGAGGCGCAATATCCTCCTGTACCAGTCAGATCTGATTTGACGGTACACGCACACAAAATAATAGAAACAAAACAAAACAAAAAACCAAACTGCCAAGCTTTTGGCTACCAGCATCACACATAATCCAGGGTTATAGGACTCGGGGTCACAGGGGTCAGGATTTCCAACACATATTTGTAGTGGGCACACTCACTCTGTAAGAAATGACTCAGACTCAGAAAACACTAAGTCAACCAAGAAACCACTTGAGTTGGCTCACTGGGATGCTAAACTACTCATCTGTAACCTTTAAACCGTCCCCTGGACCAAGAAAAGTAAACCCCACTTCTTTGTTGGGGTGCAGCATTCAGAACCATATCATGTGTAACGCTCATGATTCGAGGCAGTGCAAACCCCATTTATAATTCACCCTACCCCACAGCTTTGAAGTCATGCCATTCTTAACGAATCTTTTTTTTAATTCTTAGGGAGCTATGCAACTTGAAATTTTATGCATAAAATGAGTCTTTATTAATATAACATGCATAAAGGAGTCTATATTAACATCCTTTATATGTAATTAAGTAGGGTTTTCAAAGAGTTCAAAATTACTTTAAAATATAAAAAGCAGGGGGAGGTTCTCTTGTGATATTTTCAAAGTTGGTCCTGGAACCTTGCTGGCATTGTTTTGTTCCGGCCCGTAACCTGGGAGCGTTCTCAGATGCTGCTCAGGTGAGGAGAGAGAAGCAGGAGTGAGCAGTCGTGGGTGCTGCTGTCAGTGCTGGTGTTAAAACCCCCACTTGACTCCTCTCTAGAAACCCCTGCATGGAGCACACGGCAAACACACTAGGCTGCTGAAGAGGTTGGAGGATCAAGTCCACCCACACACACCTAGAAAGAAAGACCTGGTGGTCTACCAAGATAAATCCATCATTGAAAACCTGTGGAGTACAGTTCTCTGACACACGTGGGGCGCCATGAATGGGGCTTGAATTGATGGTCACGGGAATGGAGGGGGGAGAAGCGTGTTGATGGATGAATGATGAGTAAACATGTTGGTCGATGAGTGGACAGATGGCTCAGTGGACTGAGAGATGGCTGAGTTCATCTGTTAATGGACAGATGGGTGGGTGGATGGATGGCCGGTTAGATGGATGGATGAGTGGATGGCTAGATGAATCCATGCGTGGACAGATGGGTGGATGGATGGATGGCCGGTTAGATGGATGGATGAGTGGATGGCTAGATGAATCCATGCGTGGACAGATGGGTGGGTGGATGGATGAGTAAATGCATGGACAGGCGAATGGAGAAATGGATTCGGTGGACGTATGTGTGGATAGTTGAGTGGGTGGATGGATAGACGATAAAGAAGTGAGTTATTGGATGAGTGAATGGATAGATGGTGTATGAGTGGATGGGTAGATGAAGATAGTTAATGGTTGGAAGGATGGACGGATGCGTGGATAATGAGTACACGGGGAGATGATGACTAAGTGGCTGTCTGAGTGGGTAGCCGGATGGACGCACGCATGACCGATGGTTGGGTAGATGGACTCCCTTCTGACACCGGGACCAGCCAGCTAGCACATCACAGCCTCCCTCCTGTCTTCATGGGATGTGCTGCTCTGCTCAGGTTCCTCCTGATGTTCACACCTCTGGCGTCTTTGTTTCAGCTGATTGGCCATGAAGAGCCACCTTCGACCCCAAAGCCCAGAATCGAGCTCCCTGCCCATTTCCACATCCAGCCTGTGACTCCGGTGGAGAAATACATCAAGGTTGGCAAAGTCCTCCGCCCCCTTAAACGTTTATTTTGATAAGAAATGAGCCCCCCTAAAAATCTCTGTTCCTCACTCCAAGAGGGGGGACCACCTGCCAGAGGTGAGAGAGCACAGTGCCCACACGGACACAGCCGCGGGCCACATCAGGCCACACGCCTCCATGTGCCTGACTGTGTCTTAGCTTAGCACACGGAGGCAGAAGAAAGGCAAGGACAGGGCGGCAGGTCGTCCACCCAGCAACCACTTCCAGGTGGCCTTGAAACACTTGGGAAGGAGACCCAGACTCACTTCAGCTCCTAAGTCCAGGTCCTGCTCTGCGGCTCAGTCCGATGGACCTGCTGGACATGTTGCTTGACCTCTTTGTCTCCACCTCATACACACCTGCCCAAGGGAGTGGGGTCTGGGCTCAGGGTGGATGTGAGTGAAGGACTTAGAACGGGCGCCCTGTGTTTTCTTGCTGTTGTTAAGTGCCATCGAGTCAGATCAAAGCAGTCCCACGTACAACACAGTAAAACCCTGGGTGTTTTGGTTTCCAAAGGGCTCGATCCCACGTTTGCTGGTCCATCCTGCTGAAGGCCTTCCTCCTCTTTGCTGACCCGCACGCACTCTGCTTCCCTTGAGCTGTTTTTACAGCCTGTCAATCATCTCACTGTGACTCTTCCTCTCCTTCACTGACCCTCCACTTTCAAGCACGATGTCCTTGTGCAGGCGCTGGCCCTTCCTGACCACGTGTCCAGAGCACGTGAGTCTTGCCACCCTCACCCCGAAGGAGCATTCTGGCTGCCGTCCGTCCGAGACACGTTTGTTCTTCAAAGGTCCGTGGTCTGTTCCATATTCTTTGCTGGCGCTACAGTTCAAAGGGATTTGGAAAATGAGCTCTTAGCTATTATTCAGAGCAGGTACCGATCAAGGACAGTGATGAATGAGGAGAGCAGAGCCCAGCAAACAAGAAAAATCAGCAAGCTCTGTCTACCCACAAGGATGGGACAGAACAGAACAGGGTTCAGACCTGTGGTCCACGGGATCGCTCCAAGTCACCCTCAACTCGATGGCACTGAACAACCGTGTCCACCCTGTGCGAGATGCCAAGACAGAAGCGCACGTGTTAGAGGGCCATTCAGTGGGTGAGGATGGTGGTTCAAATTCACCAGTCGTTCCTCCAGACAAAGAAGGGTAGTCTCTCCCTTAAAGACCTACAGCCTGACACATGTGACAGAAGGGCCCCCCTGAGTCAGAACTGACTGGTGTAAGAGTCATAGAGACAGAAGTCTCTGTAGTTTGTTAGTCTCTTGAAACAATAATCTTGGATTTTTTATGTAACCATGAGCTACCACGTCCAGCGATCTGTTCCCATGAGGGTTTTGTTATGACTAAGAAGTTTTCCTAATTTGGCATCTGTTTTCTTACTATCTATTCAATACAACATACTGCACCTACAGACAAGTATGTAGAAATATTACCTGCCCCAAAACCCTCACCACTGGGCCAATAGGCAGCATTATGATAGATGGAGAAAAAGTGAAATTGTCAATGATTTCACCTTACTCGGTTCCACAATCAATACCCTTGGCACCAGCACTCAAGAAATATGTGTTGCACTGAGAAAATCTGCTGTCAAGGGCCTCTCTCCAGAATGCTAATGAGCAATGACACCAGTTTAAAGATTAAGGTGCTCCTGATCCAAACCATGGTTTTTGCAATTAGTTGTTACACATCTGAAAGCCCGACAATTTCAGAAAAAGAATATATGTCTTTGAGTTGTAATCCTGGAGAGCGATTTATACCATAAACTCTCAGAAGAACAAACAAATATATGTCTTGGGGGAAATGTGGTCAGGCTCTGTGCTTTGGGCATGTCCTTCAGAGGGGCCAGTCTTTGCAAAAGGACATTTTTCTTGGAAACGGGTGGTGGACAGAATAAGAGAGGAAGATCCTTAACAAGATAGATTGGCACAGTGACTGTAGCAGTGGGCTCGAGGCATCAGAGATGAGGAAGATGGCACAGGACAGAGCAGGGTTCAGATCTGTTGTTCACAGAGCAGCTGTGAGTCATGGTTGACTTGATGGCACCTAACAACAACAAACCTGCATGCCATGATGTGTCTCTTTCACCTGTGCCCACCTGTTCCTCTTACAGGTACATTACAGGAGGTAATGGTCGTTACAGAAGCAAATCACCCAGGTCTTTTCTACCCTTGGGGCTGTGGGTTGGATTTGAACTACTGACCTTGCCTCTAGCAGTCAAGTTAGCCACTGCACCAGGACTCAGTTCTCTCCAGAGCTGACCCTAGGTCCTTCTGGTGGTCACTGTGACCCTCCCAGCAGGCAGCCGCTAGGGGCTGATTTCAACTTTTTACCAAAAACATCAGTTAAAGGTCTTTGTCCCGGGGTGGGCAGCCAGCCCCCAGCACCTTCCCTTCCCACCCCACCTGGTAGATACCTTTAGCAAAATATTAACTCCCAGCCCCCAGCAAACAAAACCTCTTTGCTTTGATTCTCTGACAGCTAAACGTCCTTCTCTTGTCTGTCTTCCTTGTAATAGCAGAGCAGAGGATAGTTTCAAACCCGGGGGATTGGAGGGAAGACCTACCGAATCATTTGCCTTCATTTTCCACAAACTTAAGACCTGTCTGCAGAACTGACAAACAGAACTGCCTTTGCGTCTGTCTTAGACGACTTTTCCCTGTCACTCTTAAGTTCCATTTCACTGCCTTTTGCCCCTGTGACTCCCTAATCTGGGGCTCAAGTGTGTTTCAAGGACTCAAAACCACCCCATCAGCTGCAGTGGGTTCGACGCTGACTTCTGGTGACTCCAAAGGTGTCAGAGCACAGACATGACTATGTTCCAAAGCATTCCCAGTGGCTGTTTTGGGGGGTGGGGAAGAGACCTCCAGGCCTTTCTTCTGAGACTCCTCTGGACGGACTTGAACTTCCAGCCTTCAGGTTTGCCACCCCACTCTTGCACACAGTGTAGCACCTGGGACCCAGCTGTAACTGAGGCTCCTACATTTCTGCTCCAGGTCCTCCCGTCCCCCCCAATCCCAGAGACCACCCAAGGCTTCATTGGCTGGAGATCCACAAGGCCAGACCTCAACAGGCACCTGGACTACGACCGGGAGATCCGGAGCTGCAAAGGGGCCTACGCACGGGAGCTGGGCTGGCCCAAGCAGGGCATCTACTGAGGGCCCCTGGTCAGGCTGTGGCCTCGAGCACAGGGCCTCATGTCCTGGGAAAGGGAACTCCAGCCAGGCCGTCATCCCCTCCATGCTTGCTCTTGGACACTGTGGAGGGCTTGAACACCCTGTGGACATTACCAGCACCAGGGCCCATTCTTGGCCAGTGTATTAATAAAGCAAGTTAAGAGTATGGTTTTCTTTTCATGTTTTGGGTATGTGGAGAATTTCTGCGCATAATTAAAAACAAAAACAAAAACAAAACAAAAAAAACACAACACTTACCTGATGAATGTTTCGAGGCCCCCTTTGTGAGTTCAAACAGTTAAGCACCCATCTACTAGTCAAATGTTTGGTGGTTCAGTTCCACCAAGGAGCCTTGAAAAGCAGGTCTTGTGAGTGGTTTTTACTAGGTCTCAGCCACGAAATCCTTACAAAGCACAGCTCTGCTCTGCAGAATCAGTGAGAGTCAAGCTCACAGCAACACCAACTGCAGCAGCACCACCACCATCAACAATAACACCATCAACAACACCCTCACAGTCAACAGCAAACAAAACAAAAAACAACCTCACCATCAACAACAAATGTAAAACCATCATCAACGCAGCATCAACACCATAACCAACAACAGCAGCAACAAACAAAACCATCACTAACGACATCATCAACCACAGCACCAACCCCACAACCATTAACAACCTTATATCAACAACCAACAACCACCACAGCCTCACAGTCAACAACAAACAAAAAAGCATCAACAACCACAGTACAAACACCACCATCAACAATCACACCACCACCAACAAATGCAAAACCATCAGCAACCGCAATACCAACACCACCACAAAAAACCTTACCATCAGCAACAAGCACAAAGCCAACCACAACCAAAGCACCAGCACCACCAACAACCACGCAATTAACAACCACAGCCATAACTAAACACCACTATCAGCTACCACACCAATCACCATCAACAATGCCAACAATAAACACATCAGTACAGCAATTACAAGCATAACGTCACCACCTACAACACCATCATCAACAATAACCATACAGCCAACAAAACCCACAACCATACCACAACCCCTACTAAAATACTACCAAGAGCAACCACTATCAACAACAACTGCACTGATAGCCACACCACAACTATAGCCACTCTACCAAGAATAAACACAAACACAAAATCACCACCCCAACCCAAAAACACAGCACCACAAACACAGCACCCACAACTACAACCGGCACCACCAGGAGACCCCTCAGTAGAGTTCGGGTCCCACTTGCCATGACCTTTGTCAAGGCTTTTGACCAGTGGCTTCTGTTCCCAGATGCCCAGCCTTTTAGGAGGAATGAGAGTAGCCCCTGCAGTCTCCTATCTGAAGTTGTTAGCTGTAAGACAACAGCTTTAAGGGTAGAAATGAGCCCACCAGCTACCCAAGCCTTCATTCCCAGAGGAAAGCCCACGTCCTGGACACTCTTGACAGCAGTTCCTCGCTGACCTCCGACCACCGACCCTGGTACACATGTGACAGCCGGCCCAGCCTCCCTCCTCCCCGTGGACCAGTGACCCCCTGCCAGCCTGTGAGTCTACGAGTGGGACATGGCTAAAAGAGACCAGCCAGAAAGGCCAGACTGCCTCAAACCCCTAAACTGGACCATGGCGGAGGACACAGAGTTCATGGAGGGGGCTGTGCTTCGTGTCTGAGCAATGGAAGAGCGTGTGACTTCTCAAACAAGGGTGGAGGAGGTAGGGCAGGCAGAGTCGGTCCCACGGGGCATCTGTCCTCTGTGAGACCCCCGCTGTCCTCCTGGGCATCACTGTCCACTGGTGTTGGGCCAAGTGCCCAGGGTGCAAGTAAGCACAGCCTCCTTCATCCTTCCTTATTGAGCTGGAGAGAAGAGATTGACTGGGCTTCACGTCAAAACTGTTTACATGTATTTATACAAAGACACCAAAGGGGGTGGTGAGCAGATGAAACATCACCAAGCTGGCGAAGGAACCCAAGCCCACCAGGCTAACTGGCTCCTTGGAGGCTGGCTGCAGGGCCTTGAGCCGCCGGGGCCCACGGCCTGGGACAGGCCTGACCACCTACCATTCAGTCATACAGGCTGAGTGGACATGTGGTGAGCTCCCGATGGCACAGTGATTAAACCCTTGACTGCTAACCTAAAGGTCAACAGTTCAAATCCACAAGAAGGCAAGTCCTGGTGGTCACCCTGGTAAAGATGGCCACCTTGGAAACCGCACGGGCAGTTCTGCTCCGTCCCGTGGCCTTGCTATGAGTCAGGACTGACTCTGAGGCACTGCATGTACCAACCAAGACGTCGGTGGGTCGGATCCAGGTGGTGGTGCCACAAAAGAAAGGCTGGCAATCTACCTTCACAAAGATGACTCGAACCGGGAGGACCCTGTGTAGCCAGTGCCAGAACAGACTCCATGGTGGGGGCTGCAGGGGACAGAGCCTTGGGTCCTTCTCCCATGAGCCTCTGAGTGGATTTGAACCACTAACCTTACAGTAGCTGAGTGCCTAATCTCTGCACCACCAGGGCTCTTTGTGGCTCCTTACCAAAAACGTTCAAAACCAACTTGCTTCAGGGAGCTGACCTTGACTCAATGTCCACCAGGACACAGTGGATCCTGCAGGGTTCCTGCTGCACAAAACTTCAGGTAAACAGACCACCATGTCTTCTTTCTGCACGGCCCCTGGTGGAGATAAATGGCTGAGCTTTTAGTGGTCCAACACTTCATCCACTGTGCCACCCGGCCTCTTTGTGGCTCGTGATTCCAGAAAATGAGGACCAAGGAATCGATTCAGCTCCCCCCTCTGCTCCCTCCCCTGACACCCCCCCGGAAGGTCTGCTTCTCATTGGTCCTGCCCGGGCTGTGATGGGACTGCTCACGTGGCCTGTCCAAGCTAAGGCTGTTTTCCGTCACCCAGATGTTCGGCCTGCTGTAGACTAAACAACTGCACGGCTGGCTACCCCGGCCCTTTCCCGTCCTGACGTTTTGGCGTTTCAGTCACAGCTACAGGCTTGGCTCAGCCCCTTGAAGAAGATGGCATCCCTTCTTGTGATCAGAGGCCCCCATGGCTACGGGGGCCTGAAGAGCTCCATCCAGGCGCTGCCCCTGACCTGGCCACACAGCCACACCTGCCGGAGGGGACCCCGTGTGGCCACACCTGCCCGAGGGGACCCTATGTGGCCACACCTGCTGGAGGGGACCCCGTGTGGCCACACGTGCCGGAGGGGACCCCGTGTGGCCACACCTGCTGGAGGGGACCCCTTATGGCCACACCTACTGGAGGGGACCTCCAGGCCGCCACAGCTGTCAATTTCCTTCTTGACCACAAATGAGTCAGTGACCCTCGTGACAGCACTGCAGCTGAAGGCCCAGCAGAGAAGATCTGTGTCTCGTCCCCCAGAACACACCCAGGCCACCACCTGACTCTCCTGCTGTCCACTGGACGGCTCTAGTCCCGGGGCCTCCTGCTGGCATGTCGATGGGCAGCCTCTACTCTCTAGGAGTCTGGTCAGCGGATACGGTTGTTGACCACGGCCAGGCTGGAGATGAACAGGACACGCCACTGCCCCAGCCGGCTGGGTGCCCTGGGGGAGACCAGCAGTTCCCATTGCTTGGATTTTCAAGGCTGTCCTGGGCTGGGCATGCGCCAGAGGAGAAAATGGGCATATTCTTATCCTTGCTGAAAACAAAAGACCAGAAAACCAAATCTCAGCATGAAGTCCATTTCCAGGAAGCACAGCGGGGCTGGTCCTTTAGGCTTTGCCCTCCGGAACCCTGTGGGGCTGGTCTATGCTGACCTCCAGGGCTGGGGTGAGTCAGGATCAAATCAGTGGCCACATTATGACCTCCCATGAGATGCTGGACCGCCCACAAGTCGACTCAGATCCACAGAGACCCTGGAGGACAGAGGAGGCCTGGATGTAAACCTTTCAGAAGCAAATTGCCTCCACTTTTTAGCGTGAACAGCTGGTGGGTTCGAGTCAGCTTTTGTTTAGCATCCAGACGTCATAACCACCGTGCCACCAAGGCATTTCCTTGTGGAGTAAGGAGATCACCCCAACCCAGCCAGCTAAAGTGCAAAGAGAAAATGCTGACGCCGGTAGCTTCATGAAGAGCTTGATCAAGGATTCAAACAACATCTCCAGGACCTGGGCTTTTTCTGCTTGGATGCATCTAACTGCTCCAGCGGCAGCTGCGTGGTGGGTCAGGGTCACGTTAGGATCAAGCATAGATCTTCATGAAGAGGAGAAGCAGAGGGCAGCGGGGCTCCAGGACTGACTTCCTTGCCTTCCTCTCCCGGCTGTGCCACAGCCGTGCCTGCAGCCCTGTAGGGCAGTGTGGGCTGGTGTCATTGGTCAGCAGGAAGACGAGGGTGTGGCTTTTCGCTCCTCTCCTGGGGTCTCATTGGTCAGAACTAGACCAGGTGTGTATACCTCGATCAATCACCAGATTATCACCTTCACTGCGCCAGGAGGCCTTGGTGGTGCTCTTGGCCTTTAGCCGCTAACCAAAAGGTCAGTGGTTTAAATCTACGCACCGCTCCTAGGGAGCAGATGTGGCTATCAGCTCCCTTAAAGACCACCCGCCTTGGAACCCCTGTTAGGCAGCACGACTCTGTTCTACACGGTCATTTTGCCTTGGAATCAACTCAGGGCAACAGGGTTGATTTTGATGTGGCGCTGAGAATGAACACTGTGATGGTTGGCAGTCACGGTGACATCTGCTCTAACGTCCTTCTCAGACAGGCTGTTCTTTGGGCTCACAAGAAGGCTGCCCAGCTCCAGGCTGTCTTTGCTCTCAGGATCCTAGAAGGAAGACCCACCGAGAGACTAGGCCCCGGGACTCCCTCCAAGAGTCCCAGTGTTTCGATAACATGCTCATTCCTGAGCTAATCACTGTGGTTCAACGAGGGAGGCCAAAAAATGCCCAAGTCCTTCCTCAGACGCACAACGACCCTGTAGGACTGTGGACCTATGCCCCTTAGGGCTTCCAAAGCTGTAAACCTCTAGGGACCCAACTAGCCTCTCTTTCTTCTTCGGAGCAGGTGGTGGACCCTCTGAGCTTTTAGTTAACAGCTGAGCACATTAAATTACTGGGACCAAAAAAAAAATAAATCAATTACTGGGACAGTGCCCTGTGGCGTGTTTTCCAGAAGCACGAGATGACTGAGGCGATGCACTGCGGTGTCTGTTACAGCAGCACTAGGTGACCTTCAAGTCACAGTCAACTCACAGCTGAGCCTCCAGTGTGTTTTCAGACTACAAGTCCCAAGAGAGGAGATTGCCATCTTTCTCCCATGGAGACAATTGGTGGATTCAAACCACCTGCCTCAGGGTTGACAGGATAATTCCTTACCACTATATGTTTAAAACAAGCTTGGAAGCAGGAGTGGCATCCACTTCCGTAATAGCTTGCCTCCGGAAACCCTATGAACCTGGAGAAAGGACGAAAGTCACGTGAGTGTTGAGGACTTTCGTTCATAGGGTCGCTATGAGTTGCCTACGACTCTTAACAACAACAACAACAATAACATACCACCAGAGCTCCCTGAGTGTGTGTGTATCCATGAGTGTATCTACAATATATATACTGAGGGAGAAAGATGGGCAGTCTCCTCCTATGTAATAAACTACCTCCAAAGTCCACTGAAGGGTCACTTATGAGCTGGTTCCACTCACCATTACACAACAAGGATTCACACCAACATGTGTCCTTTTATACGTGTATTTAACATGTGGCAGGAACCCTGTTGGCACAGTGGCTAAACAAAGGGTCAGTGGCTCGGACACACCAACCCCTTCTGGGTAGAAAGGTGAGTCAGCCTGTGTGCACGAAGATCACAGCCTCGGAGGCTGCCCGGCACCGGTCTCTGTCCTAGTGGGGCCGCTGTGAGTCAGAACGAACTCGGCCACAATAGGTTTGCTTTTCTAGATTGCTGTCTGTGTGTGTGCATATGTGTTAGAAATTTAAAAATGGAGGGGAGTGTGTGTGTGTGTGTGTGTGTGTGTGTGTGTGTAATCAAAATTCACTCCCTAGAGTCGATTCTGACTCAAAGTGGCTGTCCGTCGGATTTCTGAGGCTGTAAATCTGAAAAGGTAGAGATGGTCCCTCTTCACCCCAGGGAGTCACTGGCGGATTTGCGTGCCAGAGACACTGGGCCTTCTGGTTCTCAGTGCAGCAAACTGTGAACCACACCCCCAGACGTGGAGAGAGAGCTGCCTTCATCGTCTGGGGGTGAATATATAGAAACGTATCTTTATATATAAATGCTACATAATTTAACACTTACATATGTGCATGCGTGTGTCTTTGTATGTGTGTGTGTGAGTGTGTGTGTGTGTGTGTGTGTGTGAGTGTAACAGCTGCCACCCAAAGGTTCAAACCCCCCAGCCATGCCTTGGGGGAGAGCTGAGGCTGTTTGCCTCCGTAAAGGTTTTCAGCCTTGGGAACCTGGACAGACACTTCTCCTCTACCCCCCAGTGTCACTAGGAATCAGAATCAACGTAACAGAAGTGGGTGGATTTGTGACTGTGTGTTAGATATTGGGGGGAAAATGTATAAATATCTAGATATAGATATAAATATGTCAATATAGGAAAGAATAATTTAACACATATATATGTATGTGTTAGGAATTGGAAAAATGAATAGATACATAAATATATAAAAGAATAACTTAACATGTCTATATATGTATATTTATATGTGTTAGAAATTGAAAAATATCTTAACATATAAAAGGACAACTGGACACTTAAGTGCATGTACACGAGTCCATTTCAGCCAGTGGGGCCGCGGCAGACCCTGCAGCCACGATCCTCCAGCCCTTCATCCGCTCTTGACCTTGCATGGTGGCCATGTGGCCGGACCTCCATGAGCCATCACCACCGAATGACTCGCTTATTGGGAAGGCAGTTCCGGTGGGATTAGAGAGAAAAATAAACTGACAGACTGTTGGGCCAGAGCAGCCAGACGTGGGAGACAGCAGCACGCGACACAACTCCATTTACACAAAATGTGAAAGCAGAAGGGGGGCTGCTAGCAGTCAGGATGGGGTCTTCATGTCAAGGGTCTTCCTTTCTTTCAAGGCCCTCATATTTTGCCCAGCGTGATGCCTTATTCCAAGTAATGAAAGGCCAACAAATTCGACAGAGTGCAGAAATTATTGCTCAATATCCTTAATAACACATGCAAGAAAAATCTAGCTCACATGAAAGAAAAATCCTGCTGAAGACTTTTTTTAATGACTGGTGTATTACATCAATGATAATCAAAAATTCAAATTGTATTCAGAAAAGGCCATGGAAAGAGGATGTCATTGCTGACATCCAGTGAGTCTTGCCTGAAAGCAGAGAATACCAGAAAGATGTCTAATTCTGTTTTATTGACTATGTAAAAGCATTCAACTATGTGGATCATAAACAATTATGGATGACAATGAGATTGCATTTTGCTTGCATCCACAATCAACACCCTTGGTAGCAGCAATCAGGAAATCAAATTGTATATTGCATTGGGCAAATCTCATGGCAAAAATATCTTGACAGTCCTAACAAGCAAGATGTCAGTTTAAAGACTAAGGTGCACCTGCCCCAAGCCAAGATCTTTTCAAGTTCTTCATAAGCTCGTGAAAGATCAACAGTGACGAAGCAGACTGAAGAAAAACTAGGTCTGTGAATGGTGGGGTTAGCAAAGGGTACTGGATCTCTGTCTTGAAGCAGGTGCAACCCTGAAGTTCCTTAGGTACGAGGGTGCTGACACTTTGTCTTGTATCTTTTAGGCACAAGTCAGGAGGTACAGTCCCTGGGAAAAGACATCATGTCTAGAAAAACAGAGGGGTCAGGAAAGGAAGACCTTCAACAGGATGGATTAACTGAAAGAATGAACATGAACATGGCTGAGGTCGTACAGATGATGCAGGACAGGATAGAGATTCCTCTGTTGTCCATGGCATCCCAGCGGGTCTTGGTCAATTATATGACACCTAACAAGAACACTGTCTCAGTGATCAGTAACGGACATCATGTAATCTACCGTCTCAGTCTTCCGTACTGCCGTCACAGTAATACCACAAGGGGATGGCTTTACAAACAAATCTGTTTCTCAAAGTTGAGAGGCTGGATATTACGTTCCTGAAGGAAGGCTTTCCCCACCAGCTATGGGAGGAGACCCCTTGACCTTCCCTTCCTTGGTACTGATGTGGTTTGGCATCGATGGACACATGTCTATTCCTGGTCGTGGGCTTTTCTTATCTGACATGATCCACCTTTCCCAGCAGAACTACGGTGGATTGAATTGTGTCCCCTACAATATATACGCAGTGATGCAATGTGGAAACTCCAATTGACCCCCATGATACTGACAAACCAAATAGTTGCAAAAGCATTAGGGTGAAGCACAACACTCCCAATTCCCTGACAGTCCTAGTCATACGTAAGGGAAGCTTCCTAGTGTGTGGTCTTCCAAACCCTTTATCTCAGAACTGTGGTGCTGGATGAGACCCTGAGTGTCTCATGTCTCCTGAAAGAACAAACCAGCCTGTCTTCGAGCACGTACAGCCAGGGAGCTCCACAGAGACAGGGATGCTCACACATCTTGGCCACATTGTCAGGAGGGCCAATCCGTGCAAAGGGACATCATGCTGGGAAAGGTGGAAGGTCAGAGAAAGAGAGGAAGACTCTCAACAAGACAAAGTGACACAGTGACTGTAACATTAAACTCAGGCATGACGGGAATCAGGATATGGTGAAGTTCAGATTTGTTGGTTTTTGGGTCACTAATGGCCTGTCCACTTGCTGTACAGAGGTAACTCGTCATTGCTGTGAAGCTGAACACTGTGACACTGATTCATCCATTGCAATGATGCTTACCCATGGTGGACAGTGTTGGGTGGAGCTCCCTGATTAAAACAAGTTTGGAAGCAGGAGTGGCATCCACTTCCGAAATAGCCTCCCTCTGGAAACTCTATGAACTTGGAAAAACGATGAAAGTTACACAAGTCATTCATGGGGTTGCTATGAGTTGTCTACAATTCAACAGCTCTTAACAACAACAATAACAGCTACAGGCACCTCTCCATACCTTTTCAATCTATCTGCAGAACAGATCATTCAGGAGGCTGGGCTTTATGAAGAAGAATGTGGCATCAGGATTGGAGGAAGACTCATCAACAATCTACATTATGCAGATGACACAACCTTGCTTGTTGAAACTGAAAAAGACCTGAAGCACTTGCTGCAGAAGGTCAAGGACTGTAATTTTCAATATGGATTGAAGCTCAACATCAAGAAGACAAAGGTTCTCACCAGTGGGCCAATTGGCAGCACCATGATGGATGGAGGAGAGATTGAGGTTGTTAACAATTACAGGTTGCTCAGCTCCACAGTCAACACTCTTAACACTAGCAGTCAGGAAATCAAAAGATGAATTGCATTGGGGAAAATCTATCAGAGACCTCTCCAGAGTACTGAAAAGCAACGATGTCAGTCTAGAGACTAAGGTGCACCTGATCAAGGCCATGGTCTTCAAAATTACTTGCTATGCATCAGAGAGCTGAACAATGACTAAGGATGACAGAAGAAGAATCAATGCCTTCGGGTGGTGGTGCTGGAGAAGAGTCTTAAACATACCATGAACTGCCAAGAAAACAAATAGATCTGTCTTGGAGAAGGTGAAACCAAGTTTCTCCTTGGAGGCTAGGATTTTAAAGCTCTGTCTCACATACTTTGGGTATGTGGCCAGGAGAGATCGGTCCTTGGAGAAGGACACAATGTTCAGAAGGGTGGAGGGACCACACAGGAGAGGAAGACCCCTGATGAGATGGATTGATAAGTGGGAGTTGGTGTGTCAGAGTTAGTGAGACCAGGTCAGGACAGTACAAGGGTTTAGAGCTGCTGTCCGTATGGTCACTATGGGTCGCAGGTGACCCGACGACACATAACAACAACATGAAACATAGCAAGCAGATAGCACGTTACAAGAACATTGTCATCTCATTAAGCATAGAAGAAGAGGAAGGCGAAATTACTGGGCGTCCCTAAGTGCCACCAGTGAGTGCGTCCCTGTACGACGAGGCTCCTAGGTATTGGAAAGGCCAGGACTCGTGGAAATCTCGGGGCATGCCGGATCTTCAGACAACGAAGGAAACAAAAACTTTCCTCCACAACCGACTGAACGAGGGCTGTATTCCGAACGGGGGCTTCCAGCCACCTAAACTGTGAGCAAATAAGTTTCTGTTTTGCAAAACTCTCCCCTTGTAGTATTCTTTTGTAGCAGTATTCGAGACCTAAGACAATAACCAGTCACGGGAGATCCAAGAGCAGCGTCTGCCTGGAGATGAAGTCCAGCTCCAACGGCCTGAAGGGATAGGAAAGGAGGGCAATGGGGACAACAAGCATAGGAGGGACTTGGGGAGAATCCTCTCATATTGTCAAGATTGTGACCAATGTCGTGAATTAAAATGCCTGTGAAAGTGAAGTGTTGCATGAAAAACCAGTACACTCTGTAAACCATCACTCACATCTCACACACTCAAAAAACATTTTACAAATATCATTGGTTAAAACACATGCCACTCTGATATGTTGCTGTTATGTACCGTTGATTCTACTCCAACTCATAGCAGTCCTATGAACAGCATATGAAAACCTAGCCTCTCCTGCACCGTCCCCGCCGTCTCAGGCATGCCAAATTCTCCCTCACCATTCTCCGGCATGCCCAGGCTCTCCTGTCTCCGGCATGCCCAGGCTCTCCTGTCTCCGGCATGCCCA